GTCTCTTTGGTCCAGAAGCATTAAATAAAAAATGAGAACCTTCTCGACAAGCTGGGAGGGAAAAAGGTGAGTAAACAAAGCCAGCAAAGACAGTAAACAACCAGCTGAATGGGATCGTTCGCCTACAAATAACTTTAAATGTCCTGCGGCGGCGGCCGGAGCGGTGATTCAGTGCTGGCTGGAGGCGTCATCCGTCATGCTGGAGGAGAAGGAGGTGAAGCAGGGAAAAGCTGTCGGGAGCCGGAGAAGGAGTCCAATAAGACGAGACGGCTCGGGTACGAAATCCTGAATCGTCTGCTGGTCCGTCTCTGATCTCTGTTGTCCTGCGTTGCTCTCTGTCGCTGAACCTCTTGTTTGGGAGAAAAACAAAAGAAGTCGTTTAAAACCAACAAAAGCTTCAAGATGCTTCACTCAGAATCCCACAAAGTGAGCTGGAAGAAGAAGAAGAGCTGGCTTTAAAGGTTCATCATCCATCCAAACAGTGCAAGATCTACCAATCCAGTCTCTCGTATTCGGGAAAAAGTTTTACCCGATTCGTTTGCACTGATCACCTCCACGACAAGTCACACGACTACACGGCGAATTTTTAACATCTGGACGGAGTTACAACCAACAAATGCTGAGATTCAAATTCAAAAAGGAGAAATTAAATTCAAATTCTGATATTTAAATTCAGCTTCATTTTAAAAATTCATGTTATAAAATCCAAATTCAAACTTCAAGGTTCAATGTTTTCTTTTTCTCAAACATTCATGTCAATACATTTAAATCGTGAGATAATTCTTGTGCGGGGCTTTCCTGAAGTCTAGTAAAAAATATATAAAAAACAGATCAAACAGTCAAAATAGGTTAGCAAAAACTACTAAAAGAAAAAAATTCAAACTTTTATTATAATAATATATAGAGAGAGAGTTTTGAGTACATTTCCCCCCCAAATATTCAAGTTAAGCAATCTAAATCCAAATGATAAGATTCAAGCTTCTGTTCCAGTGATTAAGAAATTCACGTTCAGACGATGAGATTCAACTGCAGTTTTTTGTGATGACAGTTATTCATGTAGAAAAATATAAAAGTCCAACCATGAGATTCAAATTCAACTTCTTTTAAATTACATTTATTGAACTTAAGAACGATTTTTTGTTCAGTGATTCACTTGAAGCGACCGAAATCCAAAATTTAAGCTTCAGATTGCTGAAGTTTACAAAGTCAAGTGCGACCATTAAATTCACCTTCAAATCTGTGCGACAGTTTTTCAGTTAATCTGCATTTTGAACCAGCTGGCTCTGGTTTTAACACAAGTCTCTGACCAGTCCTTTGTTTTTACACCTGTTCTAGTCAGTAGATGTGTGAAGTTTTGATTAAAATAAAACCATCTGCCAAAGTGCAGGACCAATAGATATAAATGTTCTTTTGTCCCTGCTGCTATTTCCCTGTTAAACAAGTGACCGGTCTTGTCTTTTCTCTGTTGTTTTCTGTTGTTGTTGTTGTGTGATTGTGACTGTCTCATTGCTGGCTGCACAAAAATTTCCCCACGGGGATATTAAAGATTTTGAACTTGACTTCCTCTTAAAGCCTGCTTCTGTATTTCCTGCTCAGCTCGTTGCTTATAGTTTCAGCCTCCAGACCAAAACTTTCTTTGCCAATGTTTTCGAATTTCAAAATAAATCCTGCAGTGGGAGACTTCTCGGCTGACAACAGCTTCTTAAGTGAAGCTAAGTCAGACTGTTGCCGTGGAAATCTGGGTGAGCTGTAATGACACTGCAAAGATTTTAAAATCTTATTTCTTTTTTAGACACGATAGATAATTTGGCTTGTTTTAGAAGTTATTTACTTATTTTCAGTCCTTGATTTTACCGTACAATCTTAAATTGAGGATTAAAAATCTTTTTTCAAGATTTGTTATCAAGTAAAATTTACTTGCAGATAATTTCACTAGTTTTAAGTCATTTTCTTCTCATATTTAGTGGTTATATCTTATATTTGGGCTGCCCTTTTTTGAAGTGCAGGTGCTCCACTGATGACTTTAAAACAAAGGACAATAAAGAAGAGAAACAAAGGTGGAACATTTCAGCTACAAGGGCAAAGCTCCAACACCAGGATGGTGCTCAGAGGTCAGACCAGAGAAATCAAACAAGACAATGCAGGCTGTTGTCCTTTAAATATGACTGCCTCAGCTTGTCATGAAGATAACAGAAAGTCCCCATCGAGGGCAGTAGATAAGGCAGTCAGAGGCAGCAGGAAGATCAAGGCAGCGGGATTCAGAAGAACGATCCACGTCAGTCATCCTGGTTGTTTATGAAACTGCCTCACAGGTGTTTATCTGTACACTCATTGTTCTGCTTCAGTAGGATACAATACTTTTGTATTGATCTCCCATTGGGGGAAATTTACACGCCACAGCAGCATCCCAAAATACAGAAAGTACAAGAAAATAACAATAATTAAGTCATATGCATCCTGGTGTCGGCGCACAGCAGGTCCAAGGCCCAGCGTCTCCGGTAAATAAAACCTGAGTTTCTAGATTCATCTGGAGCTGCTTCACGCCTCACAGTGTTTGCCAAGATCAGTGACATGAACTTATGAAGCATCAAATAGATTCCTCATTCCAACAGAAACAAGCCAACAGTTATGCAGACAGTCTAACCACAAAACTGCCGAGGCCATGAGAAGAAATGCCATTTATTACCAGCAACAGGTGACGTACTCAGAAATCAGAGTTTCTCACGGTTCAGATGAGCACCACTGACATGCAGTCACATATTAAACTGACTGTAATTGTGTGTGTGTAGCTTGTAAACTCAGGGATGTTGTGTAAAGACTTCTGGACCTTCTGTCAGAAGTCAAAGCAGAGTTCTACCAGAAATGCATCAATATTAGCATCTGGTTGACACCAACACAGGAATCGTTGAGCTCATTTATCACCACCTGTTTGTTTGTTTGTTTAATGTTTTGTTTTTTAATTGTGTAGAATTATTTGAAAACTAAAGTCTGATATATTTGGAAACTAGTTTTGTGCTGATTTCTGCTTCAGAAGTCAAGGCAGAAGTTTGTCAAGTGGAGCCAAAGAGTGAGATCCCAGGAGCAGCCATCAGCAGAGACACTGCTATGAAGAAGGTCAAATAAAGAGACTAGGAACATTAAAACAGTGTCATAAAGAGATTGTGCTGAAGTTTGAAGCCGATTCTGATGTTGTCACGATTACAAATGATTCTCTGTGACCAGTAATTGACCTGCGTCGTTGATTAAAGGGAAGTAAGTTTCTGACAGGAATTGTTCAGCGGGACGGGACCAACACCCGAGCCTGTCCTGACACTGAGCACTTCTACAATTTCCTCGTCAGGTGTTGTAAGAAGTTGAGAACAATGTCTGCGTGTTGAAGACTCTGAATCCTGCTACTGAGCTAACTGTGTGCTACAGTTTAAGAAAATGTGTTTGGGAGTGGAGGAAATATACAGAAGAGTGTAAAAATGAGATCCTTTAACCCTGTTCAGGTCTTTGCTCTGTCGCTACGTTAAAGGTCTTCTGGGGTCCATTGGACCGCATCACAGATAACATGAACATTTTTGGTTGGTGCTCATTTTATACCTCTGATGGTTTGTTACACCGTGGTCATGGTCAGCCAGATTTCTAACTGCCGTGCATTATTTTCATGTGTACGCACACGTAGTTCGGCGAGTTAAATCACTGTTAGCCGCTCTGGGCGTCACCATAGCAACGCACAAATCAGCTGGTACCTCGAATAGCTCAGCTATGTAGACAGGTGTGCTCTGTGAAACCCTGATGTGGTGTGTGTGTGTGTGTGTGTGTGTGTGTGTGTGTGTGTGTGTGTGTGTGTGTGTGTGTGTGTGTGTAAATGACAGTGGAGGGGAAGGCCCAACCTCTCACAGTTCCACATGTTCTACCACGTTTCTTTGGGGTATTTGATGAGGCTGATGATTTTAGAACCGACAATGTTGCTCCTGAATCTACTCAGGAAGTGAGCTAGTGTCTTGACATAGTTGTGGCTGGCAGTGGCAATTTCTTGTAACCTCCTTCATGGTCATTGCACACAGCAAATGTGGAGCTTCCCTTTTATACACGTTGACCTGGCTTCAGAGTAACCGATAGCACACTTTACTTGGTCATAAGTAATAGTTTACTGTGGCTCGGCCCTGTGATGTGATGTGTTTGTTGTACTGCTCCACTTTTGCCGTCCGCTCTCTGTCTGATGGTTGAATTGGAGATCTGCCATCATTCTTGTGAGCTTCAAGGTATTTGCTGCATCAGTGTCCACACCGGCCACACAGATGGCACGTATTTGGAACACAGAGTCCTTGTTGACCACCAGGACCACCTTTCCCTTGCTTCACCTTCACCTTTTAACCTGTGCCTGCACTTTTCTTCCATGACAATGTCACACTTCTTGTCTTTTCTCTTTCCAGGCGTCCCTCATCCAGTCTGCAGTTCTCTTGTTCTCTTACTTGTGCAGTGCAGTCAGAGGCAAAGACCAAGATCAGGGTAAAGACTCATTCTGCTGCAGCACACAGACTATAGATGTGAATTAGTCTGACATGTATCTGCTTGTTTTCCAACAGCAACCAGCACCGGACGGTAAAGAGACAGAGCAGTTTGTTGTTTTAGAGAAAATATGTCGTCCAGTTCTGTGACCCCCATGTCGGCTTCAAAAGGACGATCCACGTCAGTCATCCTGGTTGTTTATGAAACTGCCTCAGAGGCGCTTATCTGTACAGTCATTGTTCTGCTTCAGGAAGTGAAACCTGAGTTTCTAGATTCATCTGGAACTGCTTCAGGCGTCACTGTGTTTGCCAAAATCAGTGACACGAACTTATGAAGCATCAACTAGATTCCTCATTCCAACGGAAACATGTCAACAGCTCTGCAGAAACTCTAACCACAAAATTGCCATGCTTCAGCAATAACACTATGAAAAGGTTACATAAATGCTGGGGGTGTGTTGGAGGAGGAGTCAGGTGGCGTCCAGCAGGATATAAGAAACCATGAAATGCCACAAAGCATCACATCAGACCCAGAAGCTCACGGTCGACATCAAGATGACTCAGCAGATCTGCAAGACTTCACCAGGTGAGGAGGAAGCTTGATGGAGCAGAGAGACTTTAGTCTTGGTTGATCCATGCATTGTTCAGCGAACAGTATCCGACTGTTCACTTTGCATTTTAATCTCTTTTGTCGGTGGCGTCGTCCACTGTAAAAAGACGACGTGTGAGGACAGACTTTTGATGTAGATAATATTCACAGTTTTGGCCTCTAACAAGGACATGTCAACTAAAACCTTTGTTTCTGTGATTTTATTAGATATTATCTGTAATTTAACTAAACAGGGAAAAAGCTGTACTGATTGTTTTTTTTAAATCTCTTTTTGAAGTGTGTCAAGGTGACAATCTGTCCCATGGATCTGGTTTTACTGGTGTCAATCAGACACTTGTTGCTCATTTACTACCATTCGTCGCAGAATTCAATAACAGCAATAATCCCAAAAATGTATAATTAAATAACATACACAGAAAACATAAATTGCTTGCAGAAGCTGTAGAAACAGAATCAATTGCTGCATTTTTAAATGAGCCACAAGGTCCTTGAACTGTTCATCTGTGACGTGTTCTTCACTTGGAAAACGTCACCAAACCTACGACTAAATTGTGGTGTTGCATCAAAATGATTTGTTTCCAAACGCCTGGTTTAAAAAACCACTTTAGATTTCATTGAAAATGCCCACAGTGAGGAAAAATGAGACAGTTTCCCTGACAAGGTGCTGCCAGAGCCACATTGATCTGTGCTGTGTTGAAGCATTCAGTCATCTGTAGAAACCTAAAGACCTTCTCTGATGTTTTCACTTTGCAGCTGTAGCCTCAGACTGCACGTCACTGACAAGAAACTAGACGAGCTGAACTTAATGAAACATCAAATTCAACCCAAACTAAAACAGTCTTTTGAAATCAACAAGACAGGTGCTCAGTTCCTTTATGTTTGTCAGCAGAAGGAGACATGGCCTCTGATTCTATGACGGTGGCGGCTCTTGGTCGACCTTTCACTCTTGGGATGTTCTACGATGCTGTCAAAGACGAACTGGTTCCAGGTAGGTCTGGATTTGGACTACGGGCCCTCAGAAGCTCGATCACGCCTCCATCAAAGTCTTTATTCAGCCAGCATTGCTTCATGTGCTACACTGTCATCTATTTCAATTTTAAAACAGCATTTTGGTTCCAGGCGTTGTGAGTGACTTGGTTTCACCATTTCTCTCACCAACAACGTATCAGAAAAAAGTATTTCTGAATGTACAGTCATGAACCAAAGTTTACGTCCACTTGTGAGGACATTTATCATGTCAGTCTTGAGTTTCTAATGACTCCTAGAACTCTGAATTTAATGACAGAATGATTGAAACCCATGTGTCTGATAAAAAAAAAATAAACAGGCATTTTGGTTCTTTCATAGATTTTTTAAAGGTTTTCTGGAAATCGAACAAAATCTGCTGGGACAAAAATTTACAGTTGAAACCAGAAGTTCACATTCACTGTATAAAAAGACAAAACCTTTTTATTTCACTGTCTGACATTAAATCAGACTAAACGTTTCCTGTTTCAGGTCAGTCAGGATCACCAACATTATTTCTATTTGCCAAACGCCAGATTATGAGAGAATTGTTTATTCCTTTCTTCAGAGTCAGAAGTTTCCATTCATCTCCTCAGTATCTGGTAGCGTTGCCTTTAAACTCTATGACTTGGGTCAAACGTTCTGGGTTTCCTTCCACAAGCTTCTCACAACAGTCTGATGAGTTCTGGCCCATTCCTCCTGACGGAACTGGTGGAACTGGGTCGGGTTTGTTGGTCTCCTTGCTCCACTGATGTTCTCCAGGATGGAGATCAGGGCTTTGTGATGGCCACTCCACAACACTGACTCTGTTGTCCTGAAGCCTCTCTGTAGCTAATCTGGTGCTATGCTGAGGGTCATTGTCCATCTGAAGACCCACTAGTGTCCAAGCTGTAACTTCCTGCTGATGTCTGGAGATGTTGCTTCAGTATCTCCACATCATGTTCTTTCCTCATGATGCCGTCTATTGTGTGAAGGTCACCAGTCCCTCCACAGCATGATGCTGCCTCCCCCGTGCTTCACAGCTGGGATGGTGTTCTCAGGCTTCAAACTTCCTCCTTCTTCATTGGTCCATCTACTTTGTGTAAAGCTCCAGGTCCACTGGCAGTAGAACAGAACCAGAGCATGATGCTGCCACCTCCATGTTGATGGTAGGTTTGGTGTTCTTGGGGCTAAAGGCCTGACCTTCTCTCCTCCAGACATGTTTCTGCTCAGTTTTTGTTCCATCTGACCAGAACTTTCCTCCAGAAGGCCTTTTCTTTGTCCATGTGTTCAGCAGCAGACTTCAGTGGAGCTTTAAGGTTCTGCTTCTAGAGCAGGGCTCCAGACTTTTTTGACAGTGTGTGAGTTAAAATTTCAAGTGGTCGCATTGGTGCAAGTGCATGATGATCATTAAGTTGTATTGCATTGGCTGCTCTTTGCTGATTCCTGGTTGACTCTTGACCATCCTGACCAGTCGTCTCTCAGCAGCAGCTGGTAGTTTGTGTTTCCTTCCTGATGGTGGCAGTAACACAACTGGACCATGAACTTTATGCTGACACACTGATGGTTCTGGGATCTGAAGCTGTTCTGAAATGGCTCCAAGTGACTTTCTGACTTGTTGAAGTCAATAATTGTCTTTTCCAGATCTTTGCTGAACTCCTCAGACTTTCCTACTGTAGAGTTTGTGTCTAGTGAGTGGATCAGATGGTTCTGTTTAAACTGGATCAGAGGAGTCAGCAGCTGGAGTCAATCAGAACCACTCAGGAGAAGTTGAGAGGCCATGAAACTGACAAAATTTGATGAACAAGTTCCTGCATCACCAAAGCTGTTAAAGTTGCTGCATGTATCTCTGGGATCCAGCAGATTTTGTCATATTTCCAGAAGACATATAAAAATCTATGAAAGAGCCAAAATGCATGATTGTTTTTTGCAACAAAGACTTGGGTGTTTGAATGATTCCATCATAGCAAATTCTGAGTCATTGGAAACTCAAGACTGACATGATACACATGGTCTTTACAAGTGTCTGGAAACTTTGGTTCACGACTGGAAGTTTGATGTAACTTTAAAATGCTTTCTATTCACTGACATTTTGTCACACAAACAACTGGCATCAATGGAAAGCTCATGTTGTGCAGTTTCTTTTGATATGTTGTACACTTCACTACAACAAATACTTCAGGAGCGACTCAACTGAGCTGAAGGGATGTGAATTTGGAGGCAAACTGCATCTGTTGGGCTCCAAGGTTAACAGAATGAATGTTCTACCTCATCAAATCACAAATGTGTTCCCTTCACTGTAGGTGTCACACTGTGGGATGTCAAAACTCTACAAGACAACATCGTGGAGACTACGCAGCCCACCAGTGCGTTTCAGATTTCTACCTCTGACACCACTGAATCCAAGTCCTCAATGCTGAATATTGAAGCTTCTCTGAAACTCAGTTTCATGAGTGGACTGGTTGAAGTTGAAGGATCTGCCAACTATCTGAATGATCAGAAGCAGTTCAGGAATCAGAGCAGAGTCACTTTTCAGTACAAAGCCACCACCAACTTCAAACAGCTGAACATGGCGGCCATCAGCAACCTGAACGAAGAGCAGCGAAGTGTTATTGAGAGAGGTTCTGCCACACATGTTGTCACCGGCGTCCTTTATGGAGCCAACGCTTTCTTTGTGTTTGACACCAAGAAGGTAGAAGCTGAGAGCGTTCAGGAACTGGAGGGCAGCATGCGAGCTTTGATAAAGAAGATTCCATCTTTTGATGTTGATGGGAAAGTTGACATTCACTTGACAGAGGAAGAAAAAGCCCTGGCTCAACAATTCTCTTGTAAATTCTTCGGAGACTTTATTCTTGAAAGCAACCCTTCAACATTCAAAGAGGCAGTGAAAGCTTATGCAGGGCTGCCAACGCTGGTGAGACAAAACTCTGTTCCACTGACGGTCTGGCTGATGCCGCTGAAGATTCTGGAACCGAAAGCTCCTGAGCTGATAAATGACATCAGTGCTGGGTTGCTGATAAAAATTGAAGACGTCCTGGATGATCTGAAAAGGATGGAAACGAGATGCAACGACTCCCTGACTGACCAAGTGGTGGAAGACTTTCCACAGCTTCGAGATGGGTTGACACGTTTCCAAAAGCTGTGTAAGTATTACTCAACTGAACTCCAGAAGAAAGTGGCGAAGAAACTTCCCTCCATCCGTGAAGGCAAAGAGGACGAGAGCTCGCTGAGAGACGTCTTTAACAACAGAGCAACGTCCCCGTTCAGCCATGACGAACTAAGCAAGTGGATGCACTGCAAAGAGAGAGAAGTCAACGTGGTCTTGGCCTGTGTGGAGAGGGTGAAGGGAAAGGAAGTGCAGATCGTCGCAGATCAGTCAGAGCTGGAAAGAGAGCTCTTCAAACCTGAAGCAAAACACAGTAGGTGCTTTGTTTTCACCTCTCTGGAAATTGCTGACCCCTGCCTGGACGCCATGAAAAACTACTTGGATGGATGTGAGTCAGGAAGCGTCGCTGCAGAGCCGACGTACATCTCAGATCACGTTTTAGATGAAATGAGAAACACTGCTGATGACTTTAAAAAGATGCGCTCGTACAAGGAATCAGCTGGTTATAAATACTTTATAGCAGCCATCGTAGACAAGAAGCACCCAGGAGCATCCATCTGCACATACCACAACGGCATTTTGATCAATGTTGGTACATAGTTTTAAAAGATCAGTAGTTGAAGGAAGGGTTTAGCTTTTTGAATCCTTCTGGCCAATTTTTAACCAAATTGGGAACAAAAGTTCTCTTTTTGGACAATTTCTGACCTGATTTGGAAGAAATTTTATTTCCTCTCCTTTTTTTTTTTTTTTTTAATGAAGCTATTTTAAACAAATGTTGAGGTTTTTTGGCCTTTACCAAAAAAAACACCAAAAACCACCAAAAACCATCACAACAAGCGAGTTTAAATAATTATGGGCAAGTTTTTGTATTTTTTTTTCTCTCTTTTTTTGGCCCAATTGTTCATTCATTTTGGGGCATTTTGGACAAGTTTTACATAATTTGGGACAAATTTTGAGGCATTTTGGAGACTTTTTAATCATTTTATAACTGTTCTTGAATAATCTGAATAAACTTTGAGTCACTTTGGACAAAATATGAGTTCTGTTGGACAGTTTTTTATGTGACTTGGAATAAAATTTAATGGTCTTTTGAACAAATTTTAGACTAATTTTGAGGCATTTTGACCAGACTTGGAGTCATCTTGGACCCAGTTTGAGTCCTTTTGGACAATATTTGTCGGTCATTTTGGACGCTGTTAAGTCATTTGGACAAATATTACCTCAATATTTATCCATTTTCAATCATTTTGGATCATTTTGGACAATACTTAACCTAATTCCACCACTGTGAAGTCTCACACTCAGATTTTTCAGAATGGAGATGCAGACATGGAGATATGTTGTGTTGTGTTGACAGAATATAATCGTTTGTTTTTTTGGCACATTTTTAAATGGAAAATGCATCATCGAGTGATTTGGGTGAAATATTGTGATTTTACACTCAAGATTGTGGGTTTTGTTTTTATTTTTGAGAAGCTGGTTTTGAGTTGTGTTTTTTTTTTTTTTTTGGCAGAATATAATCATTGCTAACAGCCTGTTTGTATCACGCTTTAAAATGGAAAATGAACAATAGGAGTGGTTTTGGTGAAATATTGTGATTTGAAGCTCAAGATCTTGTGGTTTGTTTTTGTTGTGGGGAAGCCAGTTGATTTGTTGTTTTACTTTATTTTGTCCACATTTTTAATCAGCATGACGAAGTGGTTTTGGTGAACTGTGATGATTTTAACCTGAGATTGTGTTTGTGTGATGTCCAGAGCAGAACAATCGGTTGTAGTCGACTCTTCAGAGACGTGAACTTTTGTCTTTTTCTTCTTGAACAAGCATCGAGTAGAAACCTGGTGCAGCTCTCTTGATTTTGAAGATAAATTCACGTGACGATGACTCTCTGCTGGTAAATCTACCGTGAGACGATGTTTGTTCTGTCTTTGAGTAAAAAAACGTTGAATAAAGTAACGTCCTGGGTTGAACTCTGTGTGCTGAACTTCTTCTTCCTTTTGGGTCCATAAATGAGCTGCGAGAAATGATTTATGACCTGATGATGCTAAATGATCTGTTATGGAGCAGCAGAGAGACAGAAATTTATTTCAGCAATCAGTGTGTTAAAGAGCAGCTTCAGAGATAAAAATCAAACCGGTCGTCTAATTCATCTGCTTCAGGAGAAATCTGAAGTTATTCCAGATTGTTTTCTGATTTATTTTTACTATTATTTCTATATTAAGCCATTCAAAGTAAGTTGTTTTTGTGTCCTGTCACATTTTTTTTGGACTGTTTGATTCATTATGAAGAAGGAGAGAACTCAGACACGTTGATTATTCATTTTATAAAAACTGACAAGAAACTGGAATAAACGAGTGTCAGCGTGATAATTTCTGAGCGTAACTTGAAAATATCTCGTTATAATGTGGAAAATATCTCAAAATATGAAAATGCAATGAAATAAAGTCACATTTTATCAAATATTTCCGACAAGAAAATGGAAATAATCTAGAATCTACGTGTCCAACGTTGTGTCTGCAGGTGTTTCCAACACTCGTGGCTCCACATGCTGCAGATATTGACATTTTTACAGCTTCTCCAGACTTTTCAGAGGCCAGCTGTAGACGGATGTTTGGCCGAGCTGAATGCAACTCAAGCCTCAACGTCCAAAACAAACGAGCGCAGTGGTTCAATATGTTCGCCTGTGTGAATTTACTTCTGCAACACGCCTGTTTCTTTTTCTCAAAAGCAGCCATTTCTCCTCCTCGTATAATCACTCGGTTCACATTATCCACACGATCACGACGTCGTCCCAGAGGTAATAAAACTCACCATTAATATCCAAAACAAGCCGCTTTTGGTGCCAATTTGTTAAAGTTTCTCGTCTCAATTTTCAATTTGCTTTGACGGAGGGAGGAAGATGAAATGAAGTCATTCACTGGAAAGAATCGTTTTTCTTTCTGTTCAGCGCGATACCCTGTTGAACAAACTGCTGGGGATAATTGCACCGACGCTCTCTGCCTGCTTACAGTCATTTAACACGGAGTCGTGACTGCACAGTTTAATTAATTTCATCGCGAACGCTGCAGAAACAGCAGCGCAGCTCGGCGTTAGGAACAAAAAGTCGTCTCCATTAAGCTGTAAACAGCAGAGATGGAGGAATAATTGGGGTCTTGTCTCCTTTAAAATGTGGGCTGATGATTCCATTTACGATTAAAAACGATAATTCAGATCTGTAAAAGACATAAATCTATCAAAGCCCCTAATTACATTTCAATCTGAAGCAAGATCCACCACATTAACACGCAGCAGAAGCGAGGGCTCGTCTGCGATGTCCTTCAGCGTCACATGATTCCAAATTGAATCACCTCCGAGTAACTGCAGGTGAGCGCGAGAGAATTTCCTCTGAAGTAGAAACTCAGCAGAAGCGAATCCACCGGTGATCTCTGTCTGCCTCTCAGAAAACCTGAGGCTTCACCGAGATGGATGTTGTGCAAAATTACTCCAATTTTGTTCAAAAGGCTCAAAACTTGTTCTAAAGCGAGTTAAAATTCGTCCAAAATGGCTCAAGATTTGTGCAAAATTATTCAAAGTTTTGTCCAAAATTATTTTTCCAAAAGCAACATGTGAGCGGAGCAAAAGTGAAAGTATCCGGAGAGCAGATGACGGTGTTTGTACCACTGTGCCAGAAGCGCTGCTCGATTCCAAGGAATAAATGAGCAAACCGAAGTTTCTGAGCAACACAAGCGAGATGGCGCAGAAAATTCAATCATCCGTCATGAATCTTTGTTGTTGTTGAGCCAGCAGTGACATACAGGAAATACGAAAGTCGCTTTAAAACAAACAAACAAACAAAAAAAACAAATCTGGGCAATTTCCCAAATTTCTGGAAAGCAAGTTGAGCATCGCCAACTTGTCTTTGGGATATTCAGCTCGACGAAAAGAAAAGATGGTTAAACTTAATACTCAAAATTCTGCATTAGTTCATTCAAAACTATTCACTTCATTTTTCTTCCCCTTGAGCAGTTAAAGTTGTGAGTTAGAGGATTTGTATGCTGACAAAAATGGGAATGTGACCCACAGTGGGCTAATATTTAGCGGTAAAATGTGGCCACCTTGTGTGCTGGTTTTGCTTTAGAGATGTAAATATTATGTGTTGAAATGAACAACAGCTTCTTAAAATAATAATACAAAGAGTTATTTTCCAGCAATTTCATTTTTGAATTAATTGATGTCCTAAAAGTGAATACATGAACACAAATGTAAAAAAAATCCAAAATAACTACTAAAGAAAATCTCATTGGAGCAACTTATGGCAACTTAAAGCACGGTGGTGGCAGCATCATGATGTGAAGCGCGGCGGTGGCGGCGGCGTGACGTGAAGCACGGCGGCGCGACGTGAAGCGCGGCGGCGGCAGCATCAATGATGAAGCACGGCGGTGGCAGCATCATGACGTGAAGCACGGCGGCAGCAGCGTCATGACGTGAAGCACGGCGGCGGCGCGACGTGAAGCGCGGCGGTGGCAGCGTCAATGATGAAGCACGGCGGTGGCAGCATCATGACGTGAAGCACGGCGGCGGCAGCGTCATGACGTGAAGCACGGCGGCGGCGCGACGTGAAGCGTGGCGGCGGCAGCGTCATGATGAAGCACGGCGGTGGCAGCATCATGACGTGAAGCACGGCGGTGGCAGCATCATGACGTGAAGCACGGCGGTGGCAGCATCATGATGAAGCACGG